TTTTTTTTTAAAAAAAAAAATTAGGTTAAATAACTTACACAGTTATCAGTTTGACTCCTTTCTTCATTATCACTATCCGCTGTACTATGAGAAGTTGCATTATCAATTAGTAATAAGACTCTCCTGTCTTCAACCTGAAATTTATAGTTTAGATCTTTTAACCATTCTTCAAAAATGTCTTGTTTCATCTATATACTTGCATTATTTTTATAGGTTACAGGTAATGCAGAATGATCCTTAACCTTTTTAAAGCAACATGGTTTATTAGATTTACCAATGACAAGAGGTTTGAGTTTTTCACTACCGGTAGAATTTGTTGTTAACATTATTGTCAGTCGATTTTTATCCCAAAAATTAATGAGATATGTCAGTAGTTATTTATTGGATTAGATATGAGCACTGCACAAGAAAAACCAGGAAGTGAATATTTAAGTTATCATTATAGCTTCTGCTATAGTGATAATTTAAATATTCACTTCCTGGTTTTTCCTCGCTTATATTACCTTTTTTTTTCCAGATACGGGGCCGGATGATAAAGTTTGATTGGATTCCATTCTATAGAATAAACTTGTCTCATCAGCATTAAATACATGTTCGGGTTGGTACCTTGCAATTAGAGTTCTTAATTCATTTCGCATATCCGGTAATAATTTAATTGGTGCAATATTGGCTTCTCCATGAATTTTATGCACCTTTAAATTATTTCTTTGCTTAAATCCACTTAACTATCTATTAGAAAACTTCATATCTTCAACAGAAATATTTATAACTATCGCATAATAATGAGCTTTTTTGCATAATAAATTTTCTGAAATTGATAAACCAGATGCTACTGCTTGATTAATCCAAATATTAAGAGCTTTTTCTAAATCTGGATGCTTAACCCTGCTCTTACGAAAAGTATTATTAATAGTCTCATTAACTGTAAAATTCATCAATTTTTCTTTATCAGATAAGATTTTTGATATTGTTAATCTATCTAAATTTAATTGATATTTAGAATTAAACCTATCTTTAATCTCATTTTGTGTCAGATGCTTTCTAGGAACTTTCTTTATACAGTTGCTTCAAATTTGCAATTTTTAGTCATAAATTTTACATTAGCTAGCATTTCGTCAATAAATTGTTTTCCATCTTTAAACATAATTCTACTTTGGTTCAATAGATGGTTATGAGTATCAACTATTTTGTTAATAAATATGGAACGTTCTATATTGTTAATTTTAGAGCATGAGACATTGACAAGATAAAGACATTGCATCTTTTTAGTAACTGTATCTTTTTTAGTATTTGATTCATAAAAGCCTTCATGATCACATAAATAAGTTCTTCGATGAAGAACTCTATTTTTATGAGTAATATGACTTTTAATAAAATAAAATCCCTTATTCTTCACCTATTTATTGAGGAATAACTCACATTCATCTCATGTATCAAATTTTTTTCCAGAAAATAAGAATGATGATTGAATTTCATTTTGTGATATCATATCATCATAGCTCTCTATTAATAACAAAATAAAAAATATTAACATATTAATGTCACGTTTAATAATATCCTTATTATCTATAACAAACTCTTGAGAAACCTATTTCTAATTCAGAATCCATGGCTCCTTCATTCATAAAATTATTTGAACCTTCACCCATAAAATGTTCTTGCTCTTCATTCTCTTCATTTATAACAAGGAAATCTTCCGTTTTTCATTTATAGTCAAAAAATTATCTATGTTTTCATCCATAGCGAAATGTAAATGACAACCCAAAAAAAACTAGTTTGTAATATTAGGTAAGCTTGGGTTAGTTTTTATCTAATAAATATGTCCTTCAAGAAATCGAGACTTTAATTTAAAATTATCATGCTTATCCAAGAAGTACTTGTACTATTAAATATGCCTGCTGAAATAAATATCAAAAAAAAAGATTATTGAAATCAGATGCTCTTAATTCAGATTCTAATAAAAATTCTAATTTTAATGCTGCAAATATAGTAGGCAATAAAGATTTTTACCTCTTTATAGCTTTATTTCAACACTCAACGAAACTACTACTTGCACTTCAACGAAATCACAATTGCAAAACCTGAAGGTTATTGATATACTATTAAAATAAAGAGCATCAGAAAAAGGATTATGATCAAAGTAAGACAGTTCACAATACTTATTATACTTACAAACAAAAGGTACTAGTATGATTGTGGGTGGGGTTTTATAGCTTTCAAGTGAAACTTTAAAACATTGAAGCGATATTTTTAGTTTAGACTTCTCAATAAAAACCTAATATCAATGCTACAAAAGTGGAAGGTGATTAAAAACTTTACCTTTTATGACTTTAATGAAACCACACACTTGTAGTCACAGACAAAACCACACACTAGTTCTTTAATGAAGTCATGGATAAAACTACACACTAGTACTTCAACGAAGTCATGGACGAAACTACACTTTAGTACTTTAATGAAGTTATGAACAAAATCATGAACGAAACTACACACTTGCACTTCAATGAACTCACAGAGGCTTTAGCCTAAAATTACTACAGTTATCCAAATAACTTGTACTATCAAATTGATGTTTTACACTTGCTGAAATAAAGAATATTAGAAAAGAAATATAAACAAAATCAAACGCTCATCACTAAATTCTACTTACAAGAGAATAGGTACCGGTATGATCAAAGTTGGTTTTGAATAAAGCTTTATAGCTTTTTAGTGAAACTTTAAAGTAATAAAGGTTTAGTAAAACTCTTAGTTATCATCTTCCAGTAAAATTTGAATGCTAATGCTACAAATATAAGCAATTTAGATCCTTACTTTTATATAACTTTACTTAGTAAAATTATGCAACTTCCTCTTACTACTTCTCTTCTCTACACCTTCGGTTATACACTCTACTACTTATCTCCTCTATACCTTTGGCTATATTCTCACATAAAAATGATGCCTTCGATAAGAGTAAGTGTAAGTAAAACAACAAACTGTATTTTTGTATTTAAAGAAGTACAGAATTTGTGTTGATTACATGACTTATAGGGGATAGGAGTATATGTTATAGCGCATATGCAAAAAATTAAAAAATTCAAATCAAAAAATTATTTTTAAATTTCAAAAAATCTTTATAAAAAATTTATTTGAATATCATACAAATCAGAATATTGTATATAAAAGATAAATTTTTTGGAAGCAAGATATATAATTTTGAGTAAACCAGAAAGTGAATATAATGCAAATTATTTATAAAAATTAGGTTTTATAAATATGATATATACATATTTAAAAGTTTTTTTATACTAAATTAACTATTCTTCTAATTTAAAAAACTTTTGTAAAGTTTGTTGAAATATATCTAATAGTGGTTAAATTATCTAAATTGACCTAGTAAATACTAAGATATCCTTAAAAAAACTTTCATTAATTATATAAATTTTTTAAAATAATATTATTGTTTTATAAAGAAATTTACATAGTTAAAAAAAGTTTTTTTAAAAATATTTTGGCATTTATCAGGCTAATTTAAATAATTTAATTACTATTAAATATATTTCAACAAGCTCTACAAAAATTTCTTAAGCTAGAAAAGTGATTAACTTAGTATAAAAAAAGTTTTAAATGCATATATACTATATTTGCAAAACTTCAATTTCCATAAGTAATTAGTATCATGTTTTACTATAATTACTCTCTGATTAACTCATAAATTACCAATTAAATTACAGTCAACCCTGGCTATAGTCACCCTAGCTATAATCACAACTTTAATAAAGTTACAAAAATTTTTAGATCTATTTTTTTTTAGTTTAATTTTCCTATTTATAATCATATTAATATGATAATCACTATTATATAATTTTTTAAGAACTATATAATAATAAGTATATAAAATTTTCCCTGATTATAATCACAAATAATATAGGTAGTGGCTAGGCAAATTAATATTTTTTAAAAAAAATCAATACT